AAATTATAACGCTTTCATTCCTTTGTAACGTACTATATATGTATAAGTATGTAATATGAAATATCATTATGAAATCACAGAAATGGTTGTTTTTATTTCCGTTTAATAAATAATAAAAGCAGTTTTACCCAACAATGGTTTTGGATTTTTGGATTTTTTTAGTACCAGAAGATTTGACGTTTGTAAAACAAAGTAAAGAACGTAATATCTCTGTTATTAACAGACCCATTGTCACGAAATTTTAAATATAACCTGTCCACACCTTCCGTTATACCGGGTGTCTGGAAAATGGCGGATTAACTCTCCGTTACGCTCTTAACAATCAACTGGTGAGTCTGGGAAAAATAGTAAAAAAAATCGTTCTCACATTTTGGTCGAGTTATAATGATTTTAAAATTGGTTCTTTTGCTACGTTTAACAACTAAACAGCTCATTCATTATCACAATACCTAGCAATAAAACTTTCAGTTAATATTTTTCTCGCCCATGACCATATTTAATTACCATTTCAGTTAGATTGTACAAAGATATGGCTGTGTTATTTTTGTATTAATTTGATCAAATTCCATTTGACAACAATGTTTGCCTGATATAAAGCGAAGGTGGATTTCAGTCACCATCGTTACTAAGAAACCAGAAAGTAAGCTGGACCTATTCACGCATTAGGGGTGTGCAGTGTTGCCAATTTTACTTTTATAAAATTACGTTTTTTTCGTAATGTACATCATAAAGAATTTTTTTATTATTTTTTTGGGACTCCCGAAACCCCCTTGTATAACGTACTGAAGAGTTAATCCGCCATTTTACAGACAGGCGGTATAACGCGGGAGCAGTTTTTAATAGTTTGTCCTCATCTTCTTTTTGGCATTTTTATGAAATTTTGTATTACTTATCGTTAAAAATGATTACATATGTCTACTTTTAATGGAAATTTCGTAACTCAGTTTTCACCACTGTGTTCAGCTTACAGAACTCTATACGTTACCCGAGAAACATTATGGATTTTTTTTGTATCGGAAATGAACTAAGTACATTATTAAAAAGAAACTGTTTCTAAAATACTGCCGCTCTGTTATATAGAGTAAGTTGTGGACAATTTATTTTTAAAATTTCATAGCAATAACTCTGTTAATAACAGAGAAGTTACATTTTGAAAATGTAATGAATAATGAATGCAAGTGAAAAAGGTAGGAACTCGCCAAGGGTCCCCAGTCGTCGCCCGCAAAATCGGTTCCAGTGAGAAGAATTATTTTTTTCACTAGCAGCCTGGACGCATGCAAATGTCGACTCATTTAGTGGTAGCAAATTCAACTTTTGCTACCACGGGTTCAAAAAGAAAAATTGAGGTTATGTACGCAATGTTTGATGTGATTATTTCTTAAAAAATGAACAAATGTGTGCTACAAACATTACTTGAGTATACGCATGATAGTTGGTAGACGGTAGAAGATAAAATGATTAACTCAGCGACAAGAGTATAAACGGTTTTCTTTGTGTTGAAGATTTAGATCAAGTTTGATTAAAAATCAAAACAAAATCATGTTGCGTCAAAAAATTGAACGTTTATTTTTCAGTTTATTGTCTTATGGTTTCTACTAGTGAAAAAAATAGTATATTAACCACGGTTGCAAAGCCACTTCTAGACCTCGCACTTAGAGCCCTCGACGCTGCGCGTCTCGGGTTCTAATTTGCGCTCGGTCTAGAATGCTTGGCTCTGCAACCTTGGCTAATAATATACTATTTTGTAACTATGCAACCCAAAGTACCGAGCCATCGCAGGTACCGACCCAAAAACACGAGAGATTATGGTCACTGTAGGGAGTCCGTCATATAATGCAAATCGGTAAACAACACCAGATAAGCTTATTTATTTTCAAATGAAGTAAGGTACAGGGAAATAACCATCGAAATCCATTTGTATGTATTTTGAAAGAAATTGAGTTGAAAGTTTAAAATGCTGCGGAAAATAGATTGAGAAACCAACAAAGTTCAGTCTAACACAACTTTTTATTTTCTTTATAATGTTTTAAAAATATATAAAATAAACTGTTTATATTCAAATATAACAGCAAAAAAATTGGTGGAAAGTTGTTTCGACAGAACTTCCCTCGCACCTAAAATACAATAAAACATATCCAGCATTTTCGAGTTAAATTTTTACTTTAGGTACACAATTTTGTGATGAAATCATCAACATTTTGCAAGGACACGTAAATCAATGTGGATTAGACAAAAAATAACAGTATTCCCAAAATTTCTGGGAAAATGGAGTGAGTCGTTCCTGATTTAATCAATAGAATAAATTGACTCATTCATTAATTTTTTTGAGCCACCTAGGTATATAAGCAAATCTAAAAAAATATGAATGCAATGATAAATTACAAGTAAAAACTCATCATATTTTGCACATTTTTAGTAGAATTTATTCGGCAAAATTTTGAGATGACGTTATCAATCTTTTAGTAGCATAATCCTGAACTTGTGGTTTATAGATACATTATTGAGATTTTTCGGCTTTTCGGTTTTTCGATTTTTCAACTTTTGATGTTTCAATTTTTCAATATTTTAATTTTTGATATTTTCAATTTTTCCATTCTTCAAATTTTCGATTTCTCCATTTTTTTATTTTTCGATTTCTCAATTGTAGAAATGTTTCAATGATACGATTTCGCAATTTTTCAACTTTTCGATATTTTAATTTTTCAATTTTTAAAATTCTAGATTTTTCTATTTCTCGAGTTTTCAGTTCTTCTATGCATATTTCAGTTTTTCAATTTTCGGAATTTATTAAATTTCTGATTTTCCATTTTTTTTTTAATTTTTCGATTTTCCAGTTTTTCGATGTTTCGATTTTTTAATTATACCATTGTTCAATTTCTCGATTTCTAAATTTTGGAATTTCCAATTTTTATTTATTTGATTTTTTCATGTTTGGACTATTTATTATTGTTAAAAATAAAAGTAAAAAATAACTACCAAAATTGTGATTAAAAATATGTAAAAATTAATAGAAAATAAAACATATTGCTGCTAAAACATAAAAATAACTGTACTTTCCGAAAAAAACCTATTGCATGATTACTGTTGCACTAGTATTGCTAATTTAGGACGTTGCGTTGGTATCAGACGCAATGAAAGAATTAATTGTTAGTTAAACAAAAAAATAGTTGCATGTTAAAATCGAGTGAAACATGTGAGATGTGTGTAAACAAAAGCATCTAAATAATAACTATTTCCCGCAGAATTTCTGGAGGCTTATAGAGTCGACATTGGCCTGAGCGCGCTCCGGTCTGTGGATCATACAAGTTCTCGGGCGAGGACATTAACGAGGCAATTGAAATACCTGATATGTCACAGAGCAAAAAATATTTCTCAAAAAACTTTCAAACGTTGATGTCTTTCTAATCGAACAAAACACAATTGGCGAACGCAATAATCCAGAATGGTGCGCAGAAAAATCCTTTAGACTAACCGAACATTATTTTGGTAAAATTTGCAAAATGAGAGAACAAGTAACAGGGCTAATCCTACTGTACTGTGAAAAACATTTTATATCCCTGCAAATCTAGTTCAGCATGTACTCTCCCAAAATCTTTGCATAGAAAATGAAGCAAGGGCAACTGAAGCATTTTGCAGTAACACCAAACTGACAATAAGACAATGCGGTTTGTACATTTTTAGTGGCATCGCCAGACGGCTTAATAAACAAAAACGCTATCGTAGAAATATATAAAATGTCCAATTTAAATAATGCTTAATTCAACGAGATGATAAATTTTGGGAAAATAATATGATAGAGCCCTAAAAACAAATTTATTTATATACCTTACTTCCGGAGAGAGCAGATTCTCGTTATTAAACAAGTCAACCCATTAGACAAATTGTAAAGAAAAAATTGTACAATTAAATTTTTTTATTTGCATTCGCGCCATGTGCAGTTCATATAAATCTTTTGCCCTTCTAGTATAAACACACACAGGAATAAATAGTAATATTGGAATAGGTTTACTGGAGATACCACGTAAAAAACGTGCCTATAATACTCTACCTCATAGGTGGTGTGGAAAAGAGTATGAAAAAATTAAATTTAAATAAATATTTTTGTTCAGGTAAATAAGTGGTTAGTGAAGTGATGAGAATCTAAATCTTGTCAGTTTTGTGTATCGATTAATATATAAAATGACAGATTAATAAAAAATATTCGAATAATTTTTTGAAAAAAAATATTTTAGTAGAATGTATAAAATTATAAAAATTTGCATACTTTTAAATCAAATTATATCAGCAATGAAAGAAGTCGACTTGTAAAAGAGTTTCAACAATGTTGGTCAGCTAAGAGTATTTATGAGTTTTATGACCTAAAGTACCTGAACTGATTACCTGAAAGGGTCGGTCGGCAAGGCTCCCTGCTGTGTAAAACTCAACCATTTATTGAAAGGGATCTTTGTAAATAGGGTTGCCTAGTTTCACTTTATTTTCATTATTTAGTATTTTTTTAAAAAGCAAATATTTTGATAAATATAAATTTTAAACAAAAATGACCGGGTCTTCCCCATAGAGCTCAATATTGTCTTTGCCCTGATATAAAAGTTGAAGCGAAAAATGCTCTCTCCTCGTCTAAAAATGTAATTTTCTTCGAAGGATGAACGATTAATTAAACACTAAACAATCACTTATTTTAAAAAATATTGTGTCTTCCCCAGAGATTTAGACATAATCTATCAATTGAAATGTCGATCTTTTTTTCAAAGTTGAAATTACGCCCGTAAAATGAAATTCTATTTAGCTCATTTTTCGGTCTACTACTGGGCACCCTTAAGATAACCCACGACTTTAGGCATATGAAACGATCAGACGTATTATTAGAAAAATTCTAGATGTCAAAACAACATTAATTGCTCTGAGAATTTTTCCCACACAAACTACACACGGTTCTAAAAAATCTTATACTTTATACTACTTGCTCCAAAATGAAATGCTGAATTTTTTTGTTTTTTCAGGTTCCGGACAAATTCAGTTATGGCAGTTCCTTTTAGAATTATTAAGTGATTCTTCAAATGCTGCCTGTATAACATGGGAAGGAACGAATGGTGAATTCAAACTCACAGATCCTGACGAAGTAGCACGTCGATGGGGTGAAAGGAAATCAAAACCTAATATGAATTACGACAAATTGTCTAGGGCTTTAAGGTAATGTGAACAGTCAATAATATCGTTAACAGTTTCCATAATATAACAGTTCTATAACATTAAGGTGCTAATTAGTAATTATGATTTTAAAATTCGTAACATAACTAATCTTAAGTCGATTATTTCAACATAAAATACCCTTGTTTAATAAATACCCTACATCTCGGATTATTGCCTCTTCAATCCCGAATAACAAGACAATCAAGAGAACAATGAAACACCCTAAAACTGAATTTTTATTATAATAAATTGAATCGATTCGCATATTTTACGCTGTACAATTTACGCAATATCTGCATCAAAAATAAAAAACTATTTGATTTAAGAGTTACAGTTTGTCTGCAACTTTTTATTTTTAGTTTCATATCAACATTACTATTTCAACCAAACCTATAAAATGAAATGAAATATTGCGGCAGCGACCAGACTAGTCGACCTGGTCGACCCGCTCCGATTTACTGGCGCAATCTTCGACATTTGACCGAATAAAAACTTCTATTTCAGATCAATTCGGGAGCAAATGGCATTTGTTATATTACAGTCGTCCTGCGAAATCCTTCGGTTTAATCCTCAGCGCAGCGGCTGTTATTCGGCGTGGGTGTTCGGGAGGCAGGAGGTCGTTAGTTTGGCGGGCCAGGAATCTCGACCGGGGTGCACTAATCCTATTGCTGTGTTCATTTGTAGCAATTAGCGGCTGATATTGGCTAATGCATTTATCGGCCAATTTTTTCGCAATTTCTCGCACGGAATTGTTGCCATAATCGAGAACTATTTTTAGTGGAACAAAACGTGACGGAAAATCGAATGAGAGCAACATACAAGCCGTATATTGTGTAACTTAATTACATACGATATTAATCCAAACATGAAAGGATTCCTGACAATATTTTTTTATGTTAGGTGTATTGCGTATTTTTTATTTTTTAGTTCTGACGTGTAGGTACTTGACAACATTTGTGCTCACCATGAGGTTAAAAAAGTACAGTTTGGTTGTTGCTATATTTTAATGGTTTTGGACGAAAGGACTAATAAAGGAAAACCAATACCTCTCCATAGACCGATAAAAGTGATTATAAATTAAACTTAAATGCACTGACACTCTCAGATGATCATACTGTATAATAGATTTGACACTTGTTGAGATCAAGCCATATAATGTGCTGTTTGTTACACATGCGAAAATTTTAAAATTACCTTCTAACCCGACTCAGCTCTGCCAGAATATCACCCTGCAAACATTATTTATTCTGTTGCACGTATCTTTTCTTATTTCGTTTATTTTCCGGGAGGTCATAACTCTATTGAAATATAGATTTCTTCTGATGACAAAAATAAATAAAATATTTTTCAAATTGTTCAAATTAAAGAAATAGCAGACCCAGTACTAAATTCCAGTATGAATAGACGGACCTCAAATTCTATACTAATATATTACATAATATTTTGTTTTTTCACTAGCAGCCATGAAGCATGCAAATGTCGACTCATTTAGAGGTAGCAAATTCAACTTTTGCGACCGCGGGTTCAAAAAGAAGATTGTGGTTATGTACGCAATACTTGATGTGATTATTTCTTAAAAAATGAATAAATGTGTGCAACTAACGTTACTTGAGCATACGCATGGTAGTTGGCAGACGGTAGAAGATAAAATGATTAATTCAGCGACAATTGTAAACGGTTTTCTTTGTGTTGAAGATTTAGATTAAGTTTGATTAGAAATCAAAACAAAATCATGTTCCGTCAAAAAATTGAACGTTTATTTTTTCAATTTATTGTCTTATGGTTTCTACTAGTGAAAAAAATAATATATTAACCACGGTTGCAAAGCCACTTCTAGACCTCGCGCTTAAGAGCCCTCGACGCTACGCGTCTCGGGTTCTAATTTGCACTCGGTTTAGAATGCTTGGTTTTGCAACCTTGGCTAATAATATACTATTTTTCTTGACTGCTCCTAAAATGGCGATTTTACGAACTCATTTGACTCCCTAAAATGAATCTTTTTCGGACTCAATCCACCGAATGAGTGTTTCATATTCCTTTTCAAAAATTTGTCGAGGCTGCACTGGAAGTAAATTTAACACAATTTTCTTCACATTTTCTGCAAAAACGTATTTTGTTTTGTTTGCATTAAACATTTTGGTCATCATGGACACTAAAATCCGAAACTCACCATTTTCCAAAAAATACCGAGTGACCATTAATGATTGTGATATATTTGTCAGGTTAGCAACATGTTTAAAATTTTATGAAATGAAATTTAGGGCACTCATCACGTTTGTAAGGCGCGTTAGGCACGCGCCTGTCAAAGTTGACATGTAGCATTGCTGCCATAATTCAGAATTGCCAACACAAAAATTTGCGTCAGTCATTAATAGCCACCCGCCATTTGCTATCATCACATTAATCATATACAGTAAGGGATTTGAATGTGTTTTTGGGAGCTTTAACTAAACAATGTTTGCAATACGTAGCTAAAAAGTTTTTTAGGACTTGTCTGTTATTCCGAATTCGACTACGCCTTGTCCATAAACAGCAACGATTAGTCCGCAAAAAAATATTTAGAAAAAATGGCATTAATTAATTAATTTCTGTTTAATAAGTATCATTTAAAATGTTAAAATTTCAACGCAATGAGTAAAACGTATTTTTTAATTTATTTGTATTATATTTTGTATTATTTCTAAAAAGTACTAATAGGAAATCAAACAATTTTTGTATGTGGTTCTGCACATACTGTGTTCACCCTTACTATCGTGCGTAAGTATCCTAAAGAAGTGGAATGAAACCCATTTCTTGAAAAATGTTTTATTACTCGTACTTCATTTAGCGTTTTTAATCATTCAAGAGGTTCGGTATATGTAATTAAAAGCCATTATCTTCTGATATATTCAAATTTCTTAGAACAAAAGGACTCTTAAATACTGGGTTCTCTGACTAACAGTTTCTAAAATGATTACACCTTTTGTTTTAAAATAGGTCTTATAAAAATTCACTGTTCCACTATTCTTGAATTAAATTTTGCAACAAAAAGTTTTAGTTATTGTGTTTTAGTAGATATACCAAATATTCAGTAATATTATAAATATCAAAATGTATTCATTTACAAGAGCTCTAAGTTGTCAGTTGAAGTAATTATTGTCAAATGAGTGGGTTTTCTGCAAAAACGGTAATTTTATTCTATTACCAAACATGAGCCAAGGAAGCACTGCATGCTACTTTATGTTTTCTTGAGGCTTTATAACCTCTAAAGTATGAAAAAGTAGGTCTGCCGTTTTCGTTTGTCTACCCGTGTGTTTGTGTCGATTTTTTAAAAATAATCTCCGACAATATCCTATCCAATCGATTGTTGTCAAATTTTGTATGTGTGTTAGGAATATCGTGTAGAATGTAAAACGCTAACCAACATAATAAATGTTATTTAAATTTTATAAAATAACTTATTCTTCCACTGGTGTTTTATGTCCGTATTAATGTTTACTTCACACATGTAGATTTTTAGAAAAAAAATCAAAATTGTATAACAACATTTTACCATTTAACTTTGAAACTGCAAAACCGAATCCTCTGAAAAGCACCCCAAAATGATTGAGGCAAAAAAAAAATTATAAAATTTATTTTATTTATCAAATGAGGAACGACTCATCTCAATTTCCAGTTGCTTTGGAAAAAAGTACTTCAATTACACCGCATCTATCCAAATTGCCTTTGCTAAAATATTGATAATGCTATCACAAAATTTTGTAGAGAAAAGATTCACTTGAAACCTACGCTCCTTTGTTTTAGAAAACTAAATATGCTATATGTATTTCAAGAGCGAGGGAAGTTCTAAGTCTAAATAACCTTGGACCAATTTTTTCCACTTACTTTAGAGAATAAATGAATCGTGATTTTGTTTTGTCTTTATGATATACAAATACAGTGTTTCTATAAATCATAATAGGGTCGCAGTAGATCATGTAAACGTGCCGCCTCTCAGATTTGAACTGTACTAAATTCTCAAGGACGCAAAACAAAGACCACACGGCTATCACTGGTTGCCTAAATACTTCATGTCTTTTTAAGAAATAAAACTAATTCGTTACAATAAAAAGAAACAAATTTATTGCGGTTAAACATCACAGTAAATGTTGAAAATGTTCACCACTTTGGACAAGGTACATGTTCACTCTCTTTTTAATTTCAAAAATGCTATGTAATCCTTTCGTCAATGTTCAATTTCATGTTGCAACAGGAACTCTTGACGGCTGAGTAAATTTTGTCAAAATCTCAAAGCATCAACAACTTCCTCAGATACTGAAGGTATTCCACGAGATTTCTCTTTGTTGACACTGCCAGTTTGAACAAATCTGTTGATTATATCTCTAACGTAAACCTCTAACGAAGTTTCTTGAATTAATAAATCATGGTATTTGACCAGATATTCTTGCTTACAAGCGGTCACATAATACACAGACTTTTCGTTTACGAAATCCCATTGTGTTAACAAGACATAACAATGAAAATGTCTTGTTAAAAAATAAACCATTTTCACAGTTTTCGACTGTTTTGTTGTTTTGAAGCTGGATCAAAAAGAATTACTGTAATTCACACTTGAAAAACGTTAAAACAATAAAAACGACTACTTTAATGACAGGTTATAAATGACATTAATGACAAGTGAGAACTGTCATAATGAGGCAGAATTTCAACGAACCGGGATTTTTGAAATCCATGGCCAACTACACCCTTAGAATCATGTATAAAAGCCCTGTATAAAAAAACACTTGCGAAATTTAATATTGTCCCTTTATGGAAATGTAAACAGAACGAACAAAAAAATTATTGAAACAAATCAATATTAAAACAGAATGTAAAGACATTTTTTTTTAACGGTAATTTTAAAAATTTTATTTTATACAATACTTAAAAAAAATTGGTCTTATGTTATTTGACAGAACTTCCCTTGTTCCTTAAGTATAATCAAATAAATTCAGTTTTCTAGAAAAAAAAAAGATAATACCGGTCACAGTGTTGCTCTTATAATATTTTAAAATGATATACAATTTGGATTTTTTTGCGAAAATCGGATATCTAAAGTAAAAATAAAAGTGTATTCATAAACCACAAATACAAGAGCATGTTGTTTCATCAAATTTAAATTGCGTTTATCATGCAAAATGTTGAGGCGACGTCATCAAATTGTTCATGGGGATAATATAGATATAAATAATGTGCAGATAAAGTTTGACAACAGTCAGTTCAACAGTTTCGACTATTTCTCTAATAATTATTATTATCGACATAGACGACAGACAGACGAAAATATAGTGTTGTTAGTGATTAGTGAATAGATAGCCTGAAAATATACGGGTAAATATTCCGATAAATATCCAGCTATTAAGGCTATTTTTGAAAGCAGCCGGCGATTTAACAACACTACGGAAATGGGAGACCTATTTTTCTTTAGTCGACATGAAACGCCAAAAAAAAAACATGAAAACAGCCGTTCACCAGATGAACCCTATTACAATACTTCCTTCGTTTACGCTCGGGAAGTAAAAATGAAAACAACGAAAACTAACAAATTTACGAAAATTATAGTCTACACTCTTAAAAATGGTACAATAATGAAATTTCCAACATTTCACATAAAAATGTGGTTACCTTAACAAACATTAATTAAGGAAACCTAGCATTTGATATCATTTTACAAGTTATATTGTCGAGTATGAAAACAAAATTTAATGCTACATTTAAATAAGGTCTGTTAGAATGAGTCAAAATATTCTCAGTAGCTCACAGGGCATTTCCTTCGTAGTAGTCCACAATCAAGCCATTTGAACACTGGTAGTATTTGTAATGTGACAGATATTAAACACCTTAGTCGGCATTCACTGCAGAACCAAAGTTTCTACGACATTAAAAAAAGGTTATAAATGTGTATGGTCTTACATAAAAAGTATGAACCTTGAAAATTAGGTTACAAACTACTCTTTGATCTTACAAGTGTACTTTGCACATTTGGTGGTACAAATCTGGTCGTAAAATCAATATTAGTAAATAAACAACGGGCTGTGGAAGAAAAATACGGAAAATCATTTAATTAACACTCAACTACATTTTTAGAAATACCAAGTGACTATTGATGTTTATCATTTTCTTATCATGTTAGAAACATATTTAAAATTTGCTAATGTAAGTCATAAATTTTGGGCAGCAGTTCAGTTCTTCTCACTGGTTTTTCTGGCGGCCTTACGTCAAAATTGACAACTGTGAACTGACGTGCTAACATTGCTGCCAATAATTCAGAATTGCTAACCGTAAAATTTGCTACAATCATTAATAGTCACCCGGTACAACCGAATGTTTTTTTTTTTTAGATGAGCAATATTTGCATGTCTTGAGAACTCAAATTCTACTAAATTTCGTTTTGGCAAAATGTCTATTACGTCACTTTCGTGACTATTTTGCGAATCCACCTTTTAAATATTCTCCGCAGTTGTCCAAAATTTTGCATAAACCGTCAAAAAGTATAGTAAAGAAGACAAGTAATTAATTTCTGTTACAACAGTAAACAAAACGTTGCTACAACCATCGTTTCAATACTGCAACTGCCATACGTCAACAAGTAGTTACGAAGTGGTGAATCCATGAGTAAGTACTTAATTTTGATAAAAAAAAAGTTAAAAAGTCCAAAAATTCATACTTTTGGATCAATGCGTGTTACTGAATACAAGTAATTACATAATTACTAAATAAAAATACAGAAACATAGCTTGAATTTGTCTTTAAGAATTCCCGCCATGGCACGGATTTTCTAGGGAAATTTTTCGACGTATAAAGAAAACAAAATCTGTAAAATGAAAAGGATTTAAAAGTTATTTCGAATGGTCACTAAATAACTGTTAATAATGCATTTTTAAAATTAAAACCTTTTTGAATTCTTTACAATTTTTTCCTTTACAACTTTGCTATTAAATCATCAAGGCAGTAAACATTGCTGTTTATTTACATTTACATGGGAATGTGTCAACCATCCAGGTTCATGTAATTGATTAATAATGTTAAATAATATATTGGTTCAAAAAATATTTTTTAATGGGGTTAATAATAAATGGTGAATTTATTTTAATAAGTAAATAGGATCTTGCAATGGTTTATATTAGGATTTCCGCTTTTCTGGATATTTCGTAGCGTCTTTTCCTGCTAATTAACTGAAAACACAGTTATTTTATTTGTTGACGAAACAGTTTCTTGTAATACAACTTAAGGTGAAAGCAAAATATTATACCAAATTAAGAACGCGGGGTCGAAGACTTTAGATCGATTACGTAGTAATGACCACTGTAATCAATATCGTGATGTAGACGCCTGGAAACTTAGAAAAATAGGTTTTTGCTTAAGAATCTGACCAGTAATGTATCTAATCTTACATTAAATCAGACTTGCTTTTGTTGATTATTAGTCTGGTGGTTATCACATGAGCGAGATAGAGACAATCTATACTTACAAAATTTATCCTTTTAATGTGGAATTAAAACAACGCAGATACCATGTTATAAAGTACCATGTACCAAGTACCATAAAAGGTAACATTTTTATCATGGTTCATAGCAGAAAATTTGATAAAATATAGAAAAATTTGAAAATTTTGGAGATTTTATTTGTCCCTTTTAAACAAAGAAAAGAGGCTAATAGAACATGTCTATTATGTCCAGCTATGTATAAATTGTCCGGCATGTGGGCCAGCATATTAGCGTGTCCGGTGTAGTCCGGCCAGTTCCGGACCCGGAGAACACCGGAGACTGCCACATCCTCCGGATTCCGCCGACGCCGTTCTTATTGATTTCGCAATTACATCTTCGCCCACTCCAGTTACCGTCCTTCCTTTCCTGACCCTTCGCTTTATGTTATGAATCAGTTCGGCTAACAATAGAGCTTTTTTTATTTAATTACATGAAAAATGAAAAGATTGTTCCTTCTTTATTTTCAGATATTACTACGACAAGAACATTATGACGAAAGTGCATGGCAAGAGGTATGCTTACAAGTTCGACTTTCAAGGATTGGCAGCTGCCACACAACCGGCAACGAGTGATCCAAGTAGTTACAAGTATCAAAGCGAGCTTTTCATGAGTTCCTATCATCATAGTGCTAAGCTGGGAAGCTTTATGAGTCCACATGCCGTCGTGCCAAGTTCAGCAGGTGCGTTAAAAATTATTTTTTTTTGACACTGTTGCAAAATTATCGGGTTTTAAATATGGAGATTTGATACATTTTCATATTTTAATGTTTCTGAAGAAATTTACATGGTTCTAAATTAGACATTTCTAGATACGAGCATTTACTATTCTTTCTTCAAGGATAAGTTAAAAACACGTTGTCTAATTGTAATTAAATTTGATATATGTATCTGCGTGATGTGTATGGAAATGAGTGATATGATTAATGAAGATTAATGTGCGTTTAGATCAAACTAATTTCGCTTTTTCGTAGTATATGCTACAGACACTATCGTGTTTACTTCATCTTCTATTTTAGTTAATAATACGGTAAGAAATAAAGCACTTTGCTTTAATGAAAAGTGGATTTTATGCTGTGATATGTAGAAACAAACGATATAGCAAGTGCCACAAGTGTTCTGGGTCGTCAACTTCATAAATATGATTTTACTGTAAGTTTGACAGAAAGAAGGTACACATTAGCACGGAAAGATGTAACTAGGAGCGCAAAATATATAACATAAACAGGTTGTTATCCCCACGACACCGAAAATTGCAAAACACTCTCGATGGATTTCAACAAGTATACTGTTATCTTCTCGAATTAAGCTTCAAAATGAAAGAAATCATGTACGAGGTCGACCCTTGACATCTAAAATTTTACTTATCTTGTAGTCCTTTTTAGAGATATGTAGGGCAACAGTTGATTTTTTAAACTTCTGTGCAGTTTGGACTGATGGTCTACTTTTTCGTTTCCTGAATTTATTTTTAAATCTAGTTTTGCGGACATTCGTAAATTCCTTACCTCCCACTTGGGTCTATTTTATGCTTCGGGTTGTCGAGAGAACTTTGAAGACGAAGTCCGGAACTGCAAACAACTTTCACGCCGAGTCCGTTGAACATTTTGTTCAATCTCTTAGTGATTGAAAGGTCAAAAGGAATTTTCTTCGGAAACTAATTCCTTAAATTTATACTTTGTTGTTGCTTTTTTTGTCTCTTAAAATTATTTTGAGCAGATTCGCTATTCACACGCCATATCTAAACATTCAAACTTGGAACAGAAGGTAAACCAAAGACTGTAAAGTAAAATGTTCGGCAATTTTTGAAGAACAACTCCAACTGCTGTGTTCATGTGACGTTAAATATAACTATCGCGGAGATAATGCTATCAGTAGAATCCAAAAATCGGTTTTTAACTATTGCTTATTTGGAAGTGAATATGTGTCCATATACTAAGTAAAAAGTATCAATAATATACAGGATGAGTCACTAAGCGATATCTCATTAATTATTAGAAATATGTTGAAAAAAGTTTTAGTTAAACAGAGTGTTCCGCTAATAAGGCATAACACACAATACAGTTTTTAAAATGAAACACTCTATATATTTGTACATATTGTGGTTAACCTCTTTCTAGATTTGACAATCACAGTTAATTTTTGAAATTCCAAAGCGACGTTACCACGTTAGTCCAATTTTCTTGGATTTTTTTAGCAATGGAAAGATTCACAAAAAAAGTCGCAGTAGGTTTATTTTTAAAACTTGCGTCGCAATATTTTATAGAGAGATAAATAAAGATACGAACTTTGTTATGGTATGAATTAAAGTAAATTTTTATTTACATAATAAATGTTTATACAAAATTTAAAGAGTACAATTTTCAAATATTTCAGATTTCGCAGAACATCCTATATTTTATTACTGCATTTTATTTATTGTATTTTTTGTTCTCCTTATCTTTTATTCAGTATTTTTTATATTTAAAATTAATAGTTACTGCGATTTTTACTTTTTCAAGAGACACATATATTAGGAGAATGACAACAAACAATAGACTAAGATACAATAATAAAATACAGGGTGTTCTAGTTTAAAAAACTGAAATATCGATATTTGAAAATTTTAAAAGTTTTGGAATTTTTTTAAACACTGATTGATTTCATTGATGGCATAACAAAACGTGTACCTTCATTTATTATTCCACAAAACATTGTAAAACAGACTTTTAAAATAACCCTATTGCTATATTTCTTTGTGAACCCCCCGTTGCTTAAAAAATTCAAGGAAATTGGAGTAACGTGGCAACATTGCATCAGAATTTCAAAAATAAACTGTAGTTGTAAAGCTTAGGGAGAATATGCAACAATGTAGGGGATGTTCCATCTGAAGCGACTAAGTTGTATTTTACACCTTAAAAACAAAACACTCTGTATAGGGTGAGTCATTAAGTACGTATTTCTTTATTATATTAAGTATATATTAAAAAAAGAGAAACACAAAGTTGTACGTTTCTGTGTAGCATACATTATGTATTTTCATATATACGCAGTGTTCAGTTATTGAGACATAACACACAATTTAGTTGTTTTAAATAGAGCAGTCTGTATATTTTACGTACTCTCATTAGTGTCTTCCTAGGCTTTAAAATCATAGTTTATGCTTCAAATTCCGATGCGACGTTGCCACGTTATTCTGATTTTCTTTAATTTTTTTAGCAATGCGATTGTTCACAAAAAAGGCAAAAGGATTATTTTTGAAATCTGTGTTACAATATTTTGTTTTTAAATAAAATTGAGTGTTAATAGACAAAAATTCAAAAATATTATAATTTTCAAATATGCATATTTCACTCTTTTCAAATAGAGCAGTTTACATATTTTTCAAAAGTATTTTCCATATCAAAAGTTTATAGTTTTCATTTTTTTAAGAGACCCATCCACACATGGAAAGGAAGACGACACAAAATTTTAGATGTTTTAGAAATTTTTATGAGCACTCTGTATATCAAAATTTATTATAATTGACACCACAAGAAAACACGTATAGTCTCCCAAATACTGTAAGGTTATATGGCCCCACTAAACCTAATAATAGAAAATAATAACCCCTTTCGTGTGGCTGTTCACCGATACCACCCCACGTCATAAATCAAGAATTTATGACATTATCTTGCCAAGTGGCGCAGTTCCGGCTTCAGCTATATTGCTTATTTGTATATTATTTTGTTTTGAAATTTTATGATTATTGTTTTTAATATGAAGTAATTTAAAAAAATATATATTTAAACGGTGTTATTGCCTGATTTATTTTATTTTTGCAATAAAAGACCATGATCGTCATCATCAGCTTCTTGTGAAGAAGTACTGCTTTCCCGAGGCCGAAATATTAAAAAAAAAGTACAAACTACGGGAACCCGACACTGAACAGCAACTTGGAAAATTAAACTCTAAATGAATTACCAACAACTCCCTTAGTCTGTTTATAGTTATAAAATTTCAAAATTGGATTTTTAATATAATAAATTAAATAATTTCATTTAAGTATAGCAATATTACTATACGACCATACTTTTTTTTGTAAATATATCTATAATAGAAAATATTGTTTTTTTTGTAGAAGCATATTTTCCAGTTGCACAGAGTGGTAGTGTGCATTATCCATAACGGTGACACATTTTTTTTTAATTCCTAGTACATATTATGATAATCTCTATCATTTTTATCACAATCCAAAATGAAGTCATGACCTGCTAAGAAATTGTCCTTCGTGCTTGCATCTAAGATAACATATCGCCTTCCCTCTTCTTTAAATTTTGATGGAATTCTTTTTGTAGTGGTTACCAAAACCCAATGGCGAACCTGAGATCCATTTTGGAACATCAAAGTCTCATCGAGGTATACAAAAATTGTATTGCCTTTTAACAACGATAATAATACTGCCCACAGAATATCCCTTCCTTAATAGGGTATATTTTTTGGCCTTTCAATTAATATAATCCTTGTATCCACTTTTTTGAATTCGTAACATGAAAGTAGAGACTTTCACGAAAACTACCGTTCTACGATGAATTGTTCTGAATCGTATTTGAAAATTCTCTTCGACTTTCATGAAGGAGTCTTCAAATGAAATCATTCAAAGCTGGATTTTTGCAGATGTGTGTTATAATAATTTTTCGTATTTTAGTTTTATAGATCAATCCAACGATTTGGCTATAAGGCAAATGCGAAATAAATCTCTTCCTAGTAGGTCGTAGAACCGCCCTTCCCAATAAAATTAACCGCAAACTAATAATTCAGAAATGTTCCATTAGACGTGGTGATTTTCCGTAGGTCGCATATGCAGCAGTGGGCATCGTAGCAGTTTGTTAACAATATCCTTATTTGGGAGGGTCGGTTAAATGACGGGTAATGTGCTCTCTTATGGGGGCGAAACAATGCACAATCAAGGCATTACGTCATTAAGGGGATGCAAGTGTTATTTCCACTGCGTGACTGCGTGTTAACCAAAGGATTTCATCGACACATAGCCCCGAGCCGAATACAGAATTACGATGTTTCGAAATTCAAAGTTTCTGCCTCCAAAGCGTTGCAATTCTGGCAATTTACATCGAGGCTAGAGAGCTAAGCAAATACAAAGTCAGATGCGTTTGTCACTTGCCATCCGCAACAACTTAGCATACCATTTAGGGTTCTGTAAATATACGTGCAAGGTCCGTGAGAGGGAGGGGTTGATTCTAATTTGTATTTGAATGCGTTTGTCTTTGTATCAAGGCAAGAAGCTCGATTAGGACAGCGCGACAGTGGATTAAGTGAAACACCCCATAAATTATGGCAAATTGCTTATCCGCGATGACAACACAAATGAATTACATTAACGAAATCGTAAATTCACTGTTCCGTGATATGTGGGTGTGGATCATTGCTGTACCCATGAATGCCCATAAACAAAATGCATTAGGAATGGAGGCTTTCAGAAGTCTGTTGTATAGTTAATTTTATCGCCGCAATTACGAGCAGTGTCTTGGAGTCAAGTAACTCATCATTTTAACTTCTTTCGAACTAAAAAACAACTTGAAATGACAAAATATATGAACAACAAAACCAATTATAAAATCTTTCATATGCATAAGTAAAATTACATATTTTTTACTTAAAATTTTACTCATAAGTTTTCGAATTTAGGTACTGCTGTAGCAATTATTTT